TATCAAAATCCAAGATGGCTGCCTGTCGGCCATGTTGTTTATCCGATCAGTCTCAAAAGTTGCCCTGCACAGCTAAGGACCAAGGGGAACCTGCATATAAAATTTGAGAAAGATCCCTTTGGTACTTCTTGAGAAATACCGATAACAAGAATTGTTTACGGACGGACGACGGACGACGGACAACGGACGGACCACGGACGCAGGGTGATTTGAATAGCCCACCATCAGATGATGGTGGGCTAAAAATGGGGATCACTGTTGCTATGGTACAGGGGTTAAGTCTCTAAGACCATTAAGACAATCCTGGAGTCATGAGTGCATGTGTCTCAACATGCCTATTAATTGTTTGCTTATTCCGTCTTTGCGTATTGCAGAGTTATCTTCTCTTGTGAGCAGGTATTGATTGTTACATCATTTGTTTGAGAGAGTAACGTCATCAATTTTTGAGGACGTAACAATCAATACCTGCTCACAAGAGAAGATAACTCTGCAATACGCAAAGACGGCATACAAATGTAGGTGGGTATCTCATTTTTTTCTATGCTTTCTATTAAGACTAATTAAGTCACAAGGGGCAGGGGTGGACCCAAGCACTTATCCTGGTAAAATGATTGTTTGTCTCTTTATGTCCTAAAATTTGAGTAAATTTTTAGGGGTGCAGGGGCTACAAACCATTTCCATGTTATTGTTTTATGATGATTATGTTGGATGTCAAGCTAGTCTTGAAAGAATATGTTTATCTTAGCATCCATATCTTAACATATAGTATTTTTGTATGTGGTTATATTGCAGGTATCTTGATTATTTTTAACTAGTACAGCTGTACACCAAACATTTCTGAATGAGGCCCATTGCAATGCTCCAGCCCACTCTTCATCTTTACAAACATAGAGTCCCAAGCTGGCCAAATGACAAGTTTTATTCTCGCAAACTGATTACAGTGTAGAAAATTTACATATACATATATATATAGAACAAGACTGCTCCAGACTAAATGATCTGGCCCCTAGGATACTCCAAGCCAAATATGGTTAAAAAAATGCTTCCCTCATAATGAAGGAGTAGGATTTCAATGATTTACATTGCCCCTTATTTACCCCACCAATCTGCCCCATGTGGAGATAATCATATGCTCAGCTGTTCTTGACTGTTTTTATTTTATAAGAAAGCTGTTAGATGCCTGTTAGGCAATGTAATCAGCTCAACTACCCTCCTGACATGTGTACTACCATAATAAACTGAGCAACAAAAAACGTTTTTCCTCATTAAGAAGCACAGAAAGTTAAAATTATAGACACTTAGCTAAAGCCATGTGACAATGTATGGAGGGTTGTTGGGAAAACAGCTACTGTTTAGTATATGTTAAATATGTTTTATGTCTCACCTGAATGGAAGTATTTGTTTTACAACAGATTTTCCCAGGTAATGGTCTACTCTGTATATCTCTTCCTCTTTGTAATATTTTGCTATCTCCTCTGCCATTTTTACAGCTGACTGGTAATCACTTCCAAACGGCTTTTCCAGGACGAGTCGATTCCACATCATTGGTGCTTTACCGTAACAGCACTCCCACATCTTCGCAGCCATAGAGGCATAAGCACTGGGAGGAATAGCCATGTACATAATTCGCCCAACCTCTACCGCTTCATTACTATCACCCATTTCAAGATGAAGTCCAAAGTTTTGAAAGTCCAAATCTGTCTTAAGGGGAAAGTACCGAACGATTTTTGAAAAACTTACTTTCTTCTTTTCGCATAGATCACTGTAAGACATGAACTCACAACTGATATGTTTTTGTAGAATATTATCTATCAAATCTCTCCCCTCCTCATAATTGGATCGGCCACATCCATAGAAATTAAACGTGGTGTTATCATTGGCGTGATTGATAAATAGCTGAAACATACTCTGCCACAGGTACTTCTTAGCCAGATCACCACCTGCTCCTATCAGTACAAAATCTGTATGTGTCTTCTTATCACCGGAACAGAGGACAAGGTGCATACCAATACAACCCAGAATAACACACAAAGCCGCCCAACATTCCATTCTGATGCTATGTTCACTACAACACAAATACAAAATATTGATAAAGGTGTACTTCTAATATCAAACGACGGACGAATACAATAATCTTATTTATTTGGCACTAGGAATATTTCCATAATTTATCATAATAAAGTAATTTTGTTTCTTTACGTTTATAACACTTGACTTTGACTAATTGAATGTCTTCATCAGTACTAGTGTATTTCAGGTTTTTCACTGAAATCTGTAGGGATTTAAGTGAATAAATTTAAATTTCATTATCTCTGTTTAATATTGAATGTTGTTCTAGAAAACTTGTTGTGATCCACAATGGCATTCAAAATAGTTGAGGAAAAAATAAGGACATCATATCACTTTACCAAATTATTCTGAACTCATTCTATTTTCAATTCATTGATTTCATCAGTTGACAACTACTGACTTAAATAGCATCAAAATTATGTGATTTAACATTAGTGTCACAAATGTATGATTGAACATTGTAATGTGATACAATTACATTTTGTATGTGCTGAAAAATGCAATAACTGCATCACTTGGCTGTAGTAAGATAAATACTATATGGATGTAATACATTATTTTACTTTTGTTATGTATAAATAACTCAAAAATATGGTGAATTATTAAATAAAAGTAGGGATAAAATTGTTTAATTCATTTGAATTCACATGACGGCTTTACTTCCTGCTTTCTTAATACATTATTTGACAATTGACAGGCTTGTCAAAATATATTTGACAACTTTAAGCAAGATCACTTTTCTAGGTATTTCCAGTAGTATCCTAAGGATTACATGTCCATACTAAATGTTCTCAGGAGTGGTCCAGTTGAGCTACATGTACCTAAAGGGAAAGCTCCCCTGATGTTATGATAGCCATTAGTCGGTAATAATTTTTATCAAGCTGCATTATCAAGTTTATACTCTTTAAGAGTACATGCTTTACAAACCAAAGTAAAGGAGATAATTGCAAACAGTCACCCATGTCCTTACATGTACATTTTATGTCCGAGGCAGTGAATGTGCATGATTGTACCCAAAACTAAAGATAAATTAAGTCATCAATTCTCTTCCAATCGAGCTATATGGAAATTCCCTCTACGTGAAACAGTAACAAGAAACTGGTGACAATATGAATGGAGGATGTAAACAACATTACCTCTCTAATACCTGACAAAAATACAGAGTTTAGAAATGTGACTTCAAGTCAGTCCACCATAACCTTTCACACGTGTACATGTACAGGGCTCAAGTCCTATTACTTAGGAGGGTAAGACAGTCAGCTCATCTTGTGTATAGTATATTATATATATATGCAACGCCAACATATGCCTACAAAAAGATACATGTGTAAATGCATGTACTCAGACAGCAGACAAATTCAAATCGCAGCACTATAACAGGAATTTCAGCAATAAATAAAATGGGTTATACATAAAATGGGTTATACATAAATATCAGTGTACAAGGATGAATGTTCTAAAAAGATAATAAAATGTCATATGGTCGAATAAATCAAGAAAGCACAGTAATAGTGCTTTACATTATTGAATTTATACATACCATCACCAGTAGCTGGCACCCGGTCAGAATGAAAACGAAAGTAGATCATAGTCAGCTTTACGCTTAAACATTTGCCTCATTCTTAATCACTGAAACGCTTTTGCTGTCCGGATCCGTCATCATGGCTCTAGCACGAAATCTGGGGAAGATCAACTACAAAAGCTCGGTGCTTTTCTTATGTGACATGCAGGAAAAGTTCCGCGGAAACATTCAGTATTATCCTCAGATTCTAAATGTTGCAAACAGAATGCTTCAAGGAGCGCAGGCTTTGGACATGCCGGTGATCGTCACAGAACAGTATCCCAAAGGTCAAAGTTCTAACGCCAATTCCGTTTCGTACATGTCGTATGTTTTTTTTTATAAAAGTTAACGGAGACAACAAAATATATTGACCAATACATTAGACAAATTCTTTCCAGCATAAAAGAAAAGCAAACGCTGTTTCCTACTTCGTGCTGCACAACTACTTTTCCTATGTTGTTTTATTTTAAGCTGACAATGCTGACACGGTTCTTATCTTATAGCCCTATCTTAAATTACAAAAATATTGATGTTTTAACTGGTGGCATGGGCATGCTTGCAGCATGTCGCTGGAATATCACACTCCAGGAAGATGATGACACAAGATTGATGTGCTCACGTGTCATACGTACCACAAGTGTTTTGTCGTTATTTTTATCATTTATTTGTTTTATTGTGGAAGGGGTTAGAGAATTTGAGCAATAAACATTAAGTTAATGCTCATTTAGGAAATTTATGAATATGAAGTAAAAACAAGTAAATTATCTCTATTTTATATTTTTATTGGAATAGAAAACAACTAGAAAGAATCCTGGAAAAAAAAAGTAAAAAAAATGATAATATTTATATGCAACATTTCATCAGTGTGTCCTTGCAAAATCCTGACATATGGTATAGTTCATCTGACTATTTTACAGACAATGCCAAAAAGTATGGTGCCAATGCATATATATATATATAATTTGTGTTCTTCTGTGAATTTCTTTCTTTATAATCTTGGTAATTTATTGTGTTGTGATTCAATAAACGTTGCAGAACAAATGTCAAAATTATTTTGAAAGTATTCTCTTCAAGCACACTTTAAATAACTTATCTGTTTGAACTGTATAGCTGTGATTATGATCAGTCAGATACACCAATTGCAAGTGTGCTATTATTAGACAAGCACAGAAACTGGTCATGTGACGAAATGGTGTCGTTCCACGACAGGATAAAAAAGGTGTCATTGTTAAGTGGGAAGGAAGTGATTCAAACTGACCTTCCTGTTAAAATAAGATTACTGAAAAAGAATGTAAATTGAACCACAATGCCTCAGTTTAATTTTGCTCTTCTTCGTTTATTTATCAATTTCAACTTAAGGACTCAGAAACTGGTCACTGAATGATATATTTTTATTTTTTTTGCTTTTCTGAAGTCCAATTTTCCTCTGGATCTAACATTGTCCATTAGTCATTTGCAGATCTACCTGAAAAAAGTGTAATTCACCTGTGATATTGGTACCAGAGGTTACTCGAGCTACGTTCCTCTCTTACTACTGTACAGCCATCATTCATGAATCATCTTATTCAAATTTGGACATTTAAAACATTTTTTTTTTTCATAGCATCATTATTTCCTAAAATTGTGTTTAGAAATGTTATTCAATGATACAGTAAGAAACTAGTTCTTCCTATTTTGTTATAAGAAGATTTTGGTTCTACAGTATCAGAGCTTGATGTCTATCAGCAGAATATTAACCCATTCAGTTACAGTTCCTAATGGGTTTTTTCTTTCCATTACAGGTCTCGGGCCGACAGTGTCAGAACTTGATGTCAGTCAGCTGAAGGTTTACCCTAAAACACAATTCTCAATGTTGATACCTGAAGTTGTAGATCGACTGTCAACTATGAAAGGTGAAAAATAGAACCCTTCACCTCAAGTCGTTATTACCCCATCAAGTAAACATTTGAGGTTGTCAATCTTTCTGATATCTTCAGCTACACAATAGAGCCCTGAAGTCTTTGTGCCTAAATTGTGGCCCCTTAAGGTAAATTATAGAGCCCTAAAGTATTTGTGATCCATTTGGGTAAACTGAACAATAGAGCCCTCTAGTCTTTGTGATTAAGCTATACAACCTAGGCCTCTAGTCTTTGTGATTAAGCTATACAACCTAGGTCTCTAGTCATTGTGATCAAGCTATACAACCTAGGCCTCTAGTCTTTGTGATCAGGCTATACAACCAGGCCTCTAGTCTTTGTGATCAGGTTATATAACCAAGGCCTCAAGTTTTTGTGATTAAGCTATACAACCTTGGCCTCTAGTCTTTGTGATTAAGCTATACAACCTAGGCCTCTAGTCTTTGTGATCCCTTCAGCTAAACAATAAATTCCTGTAGTAAACAATAAGGGTTCAAATTGGGCCAGTTTGCTTTTATTACATACTGATAACCGTCAGAAATTGTCCCCAATGCAATCCTATATTTCAACAGCATGGTTGTGCAGTTATTGTAGTGATATTTTACTGAACTATTACAAGTAAATTTGATAGGAAAATTACATTAGCATCCTTATGAGTTGATGAAATCTGAAACACACATATTTGTTTGGGCCTAAATATTTACATTCCTAAGAAAACAAAATTTGCATCTCAAATCATTTCACTATGATTCTAACATGACAACATTTTTGTTTGCTGACAGAGGTAAAGTCTGTAGTGCTGTGTGGTATAGAGACCCAGGTTTGTATACAGAACACTGTTCTAGACCTCCTGGAGAAAAACTACCAAGTCCATGTGATTGCTGATGCCTGCTCCTCACGAACCATGGTGGACAGGTGAGCCATTTGTATTAGGTGTGATAAAAATACTAGACTGCTATTCTTTCTGGTACATATCATATCATATTATCATACATTAATTTCTGTATTTTTCATAATTCTAAATCTGCATATAGGACCAAGTCTTTGCAAAAATATTATATACAACAGTCTTCAGATCTCAATATCTGTTTCAAAGAATTGAATGCAGATGTGGACTCGGTTTAATTTGATGCAAATGTTTAAATTTTAGTTCACCTGTGCCTAATCTTCAAGGGACTTTCGCTACAAGTCTTTGTCCATTGTCATTCATTGTCTATCATTCTTTCTCCAATGATAGTTTTAATAACTTAAATGTAAAGAACCATAAGGCCTAAAATGAAATCTGCCTGGATAAATAATAATTAGATTTACGATGGACACATAAAATTGGAAACGTAAATATCTTTTGAAATTTTGAATAAGTTTTTAGCAGTTACTATATACTGGGGAACTTTTTAAATGTTTGTCCTTTACAGTTAGAATCCATTTGTGCACAGTATTGATAACGCCCCTTCACCTATTATTGCTAAGTTTAGTATGTTGTGTACTTAATTTTCACTGTCATGATAAATTCGCCCTTATTATGGTGGGCTATAAAAGGCGAAAGTTAAACTGCAGCGAACATTGCCGAGTATACAGTATTCCTTTGCTGTAGGATTTTACTACAGGTTGATATTGATGTTACAGGATGTTTGCTTACCAGAGGATCAAGGAAGCAGGAGCGTTTCTGACCACCAGTGAGAGCATGCTCCTGTCTCTATGTAATGATGCCTCCCATCCTAAGTTCAAACCGATACAGAAGCTCATCTGGGAGTCGGCACCAGACAGTGGCCTCCTCACCACAAAAGTCCAGGGCGAGACTGCAGTATAGGAAGATTCAGACAGAGGGAAACAAGAAGACTCATTTTATATCTGTTTCTTAAATGGTAATGGGAGATATGATTATCTGGGTTTCCCAAAAGTAATTTTTGTTAATTATGCTGTGTAAATCAAATGACTTGGTGATTGCGGTGATGTGATTGATATTAAAGATTTACGGTTTTATCATTAACAATGATATTAGTTAATTAAGGGTTTGTAACCAATGGACACAACCACAAGCTCATAATCAAACATCCTATCATGTGTAGCGGAACTGGACTGAGTCGTTCGTAGGCAACCAGGTAGCTCAATTGGTTAGAGCGTTCGTCTAGAGTTCGGAAGGTCCCGAGTTCGAACCTCGGTCTGGCCATTGCATTTCTCTTTCTCCTGTCAGACTGGCATGTGTACCAAGTTCCTAAGGAAGTTATGATTTAAAAAAGTGTTGAGATAATTCAGTCACTTTCAAAATGATGTTGAGCAAGATGTACATAACCAAGATGGATGCTAGATAATGTGGCTTTGTCTGTGACAATATAGGGGCTGATGGCCTGTAAAAATATATATGGATGTATGGTTGACAGACCCATGAATGTCAAAAGAGATGGCCTTGAGATTGGTCACCTACATGTATGAACATATTCAAAATGAAAGAATGATGAGGCAGTATATACATTGTATTGCTCCAATGGAATGATATTTCAATACGTGGGATGTTTCAGAAATTCATACTGCTGGAATTACTAAAGACGTTACTGTGCCATTTTTAAAACTAGTTTATAATTGTGTAGCATTAAATTTTGAAAACACAAAATGGAAAATTCTTTGAAATGTGAATATAATTGCTTAAAATATTAAAAAATCAATTTACGAAATGTATTTTTTTATTCTTCATAATATTTTGATAAACCTGTACTACAGATGGTTCCGACTGTCAGTGTTTGGTGGGTTCAGACTGTCGGTGTTTGGTGGGTTCAGTCTGTCGGTGTTTGGTGGGTTCAGACTGTCGGTGTTTGGTGGGTTCTGACTGTCAGTATTTGGTGGGTTCAGACTGTCGGTGTTTGGTGGGTTCAGACTGTCAGTGTTTGATGGGTTCAGACTGTCAGTGTTTGGTGGGTACAGACTATTGGTGTTTGGTGGGTTCAGACTGTCGGTGTTTGGTGGGTTCAGACTGTCGGTGTTTGGTGGGTTCAGACTGTCAGTGTTTGGTGGGTTCAGACTGTCAGTGTTTGGTGGGTTCAGACTGTCGGTGTTTAGTTAGTTCTGACTGTCGGTGTTTGGTTAGTTCTGACTATTGGTGTTTGGTGGGTTCAGGCTGTCAGTGTTTGGTGGGTTCTGACTGTCGGTGTTTGTTTGGTTCAGACTGTCAGTGTTTGGTGGGTACAGACTGTCAATGTTTGGTGGGTTCAGACTGTTGCTGTTTGGGTTGGTTCAGACTGTCGGTGTTTGGTGGGTTCAGACTGTCAGTGTTTGGTGGGTTCAGACTGTCGCTGTTTGGTTTGGTTCAGACTGTCGGTGTTTGGTGGGTTCAGACTGTCGGTGTTTGGTGGTTTCAGACTATCAATGTTTGATGGGTTCAGAATGTCAGTGTTTTGTATGGTTCAGACTGTCAGTGTTTGTTTGGTTCAGACTGTCAGTGTTTGGTGGGTTCAGACTGTCAATGTTTGGTGGGTTCAGCCTGTCAGTGTTTGGTGGGTTCAGACTGTCAGTGTTCGGTGGGATCAGACTGTCAATGTTTGGTGGGTTCAGACTGTCAGGGTTTGGTGGGTTCAGACTGTCAGTGTTTGGTGGGGTCAGACTGTCGGTGGTTGGTGGGTTCAGACTGTCGGTGTTTGGTGGGTTCAGGCTGTCAGTGTTTGGTGGGTTCAGTGTCAATGTTTGGTGGGTTCAGACTGTCAGGGTTTGGTGGGTTCTGACTGTCGGTGTTTGGTTAGTTCTGACTATTGGTGTTTGGTGGGTTCAGACTGTCAGTGTTTGGGGGGTTCAGACTGTCAGTGTTTGGTGGGTTCAGACAGTCAATGTTTGGTGGGTTCAGACTGTCGGTGTTTGGTGGTTTCAGACTATCAATGTTTGATGGGTTCAGAGTGTCAGTGTTTTGTATGGTTCAGACTGTCAGTGTTTGGTTGGTTCAGACTGTCAGTGTTTGGTGGGTTCAGACTGTCAATGTATGGTGGGTTCAGACTGTCAGTGTTTGGTGGGTTCTGACTGTCGGTGTTTGGTTAGTTCTGACTATTGGTGTTTGGTGGGTTCAGACTGTCAGTGTTTGGTGGGGTCAGACTGTCGGTGGTTGGTGGGTTCAGACTGTCGGTGTTTGGTGGGTTCTGACTGTCAGTATTTGGTGGGTTCAGTCTGTCGGTGTTTGGTGGGTTCAGACTGTCGGTGTTTGGTGGTTTCAGACTATCAATGTTTGATGGGTTCAGAATGTCAGTGTTTTGTATGGTTCAGAGTGTCAGTGTTTGTTTGGTTCAGACTGTCAGTGTTTGGTGGGTTCAGTGTCAATGTTTGTTGGGTTCTGACTGTCAGTGTTTGGTGGATTCAGACTGTCAGTGTTTGGTGGGTTCTGTGTCAGTGTTTGGTGGGTTCAGTGTCAATGTTTGGTGGGTTCAGACTGTCAGGGTTTGGTGGGTTCAGACTGTCAGTGTTTGGTGGGTTCTGTGTCAGTGTTTGGTGGGGTCAGTGTCAATGTTTGTTGGGTTCTGACTGTCAGTGTTTGGTGGATTCAGACTGTCAGTGTTTGGTGAGTTCTGTGTCAGTGTTTGGTGGGTTCAGTGTCAATGTTTGTTGGGTTCTGACTGTCAGTGTTTGGTGGGTTCAGACTGTCAGGGTTTGGTGGGTTCTGACTGTCGGTGTTTGGTTAGTTCTGACTATTGGTGTTTGGTGGGTTCAGACTGTCAGTGTTTGGGGGGTTCAGACTGTCAGTGTTTGGTGGGTTCAGACTGTCGCTGTTTGGTGGGTTCAGACTGTCAATGTTTGGTGGGTTCAGACTGTCAGGGTTTGGTGGGTTCAGACTGTCAGTGTTTGGTGGGGTCAGACTGTCGGTGGTTGGTGGGTTCAGACTGTCGGTGTTTGGTGGGTTCAGACTGTCAATGTTTGATGGGTTACAGACTGTCAGTGTTTGGTGGGTTCAGACTGTCAGTGTTTAGTGGGTTCAGACTGTCAGTGTTTGGTGGGTTCAGTGTCAATGTTTGGTGGGTTCAGACTGTCAGTGTTTGGTGGGTTCAGACTGTCGGTGTTTGGTGGGTTCAGACTGTCAGTGTTTGTCGGGTTCAAACTGTCGGTGTTTGGTGGGTTCAGACTGTCAGTGTTTGTTGGGTTCAGACTGTCAAGTGTTTGGTGGGTTCAGACTGTCAGTGTTTGGTGGGTTCAGACTGTCAGTGTTTGGTGGGTACAGACTGTCAATGTTTGGTGGGTTCAGACTGTCAGTGTTTGGTGGGTTCAGACTGTCAGTGTTTGGTGGCTCCAGTTTTCATGCTCATTTTAACAGCATTTTTATGATTGATTGATGTTCTATCAGTTATTTTCGTCCGCTGTAGGATTTATGAAATATTGACAGGATGCTACATTAAGTAAAGCACGTTTGATTACCATATCTAGAAAAAAAATATTGAAACCTAGCCAGCAAACCTATTTACAACTGAATTGTGGTTTGCTCTGTCGAGTATTTTGAAAAGTCTTGATAACGGGTAAGCGTTCGCTGCTTCATCGAAGACATCCGCCATGCTAGTCAAATCAAAGTAATGTCACTTCCTCACACCGAAAATTTGGGGTTTGACAAGAAGACTACAATGCACACTAATTAGCATAATCGATAACACCGACATTCACATCACACAAAGAAAAGGCATATTTCGCTATGAGATCACCATATAACTAGTCCATAGTTATCATTGAGATTCATGTGTTGCAAGTTTGTCCGTCACCAGTCGACAACTACTCGAAGGGTTATTGGTTTGATAGTATTTTTTTCCAAAATACGGACAAAATATATATATAGAGGTAAAAATTGTCAAACGTCCGTGTGATCTTGAAAATTTAAATAAAATAAAACACCGAAGACTGAATCTCGCTAGTACTTTCGCCCATCTTGGGGGCTTTTCGAAACGATTTTTGTTTTAGGGATAAAGACTAACTTTCGGTAAAAATACCACAACAATGACAATGTCCGAGTATCATCATTGGGGTGTAATTTTTACCGAAAGTCGATCTAAAACCATAAAACATGTCAAATTGTCATGTAATGTACTTTTATGGATTGATGCAATGTTTTGCCAAATAAATCTATCTTTAAAAATCTATAAATCTATAAATCTAAATTACTCTGAACACCTTAGTTTAGGTCCAAATATATCTGTGACAAATTATCAGGTCCCTGTGATCTACCACTAGTGACTACTAAATTCTGACTATCCTCGTAATATGGTAGTATAACCCAACCATGCTGACTATACTCGTACAATGCTGACTATAAACCAACAATGCTGACTTTTTACTGAACTCAGCTACCTAGGAGTAAAACTGAAATTCAATAATAAATTTAATCATATACAGAAACAGTTATCTGACCAAGGAAGAAAGGCCATGTATGCTCTTTTTTCAAGCTCTTCTAACTTGAGCCTAAACTGTACAACGTTATTGCATTTATTTGATACGTATGTTTGTAGTATATTGCATTACGCATGTGAAGTATGGGGATCTACAAAAGGTACGGATATTGAGAGGTTACACCTACACTTTTGTAAGAAGATTTTAAAAGTTAAGAAGTCGACTTGCAACGCAATGGTTTATTTTGAATTAGGTCGACATCCTTTGGAAAATATAAGAAAATTCAGAATGATAAAATATTGGTTAAAACTAATGGATTCGAAAAATTGTATTTTGCAAACTGCGTATTCCTTTTTAAGTAGTAGCAATACAGGCAATTGCTTTAACTGGGTTAAGTATGTCAAACATTGTCTTTTTTCTCTCGGATTCGCAGATGTATGGACAAATTATTATTCATATAACCATAAAAGTATTTTGTACATGATAAAGCAAAGAATATTTGATCAAAGTCAACAATATCTGAGAGGGCTATTAGAAACCTCACCTAAATGTATTTTATATAAGCACTTAGCAAATCACCATACTCTTCAATACTATTTGACAAAGTATATTCCAATGAAATACCGGATCTGTTTATCTAAACTTCGTCTTTCTGCACATAATTTAGCTATTGAGACTGGTAGATACAATAACATAACGAGAGAACAAAGACACTGTATGAGCTGCATTTCAGATATTGAAGACGAATATCATTTTATTTTAATATGTAACAATTTTCATATTCTGAGAGTAAAATACATAAAACCATATTACTGGCGAAATCCTTCAATGTTTAAACTTGTACAGTTACTAAGTGCTGATAATATCAGCGTTATTCGTAAACTTGCTAGATACATTTTTGAGGCAAATAAGGCACGAGTGACGTAAACATGCACATCAATATAATTTATATAAATGTCTATTTATGTATTATTGACATTTGTATCGTTACGGATTACATGTTGTTGTAGTTAATGTCAGATGTTAATGATGCTG